GGAATTACGGGGAATTCATCATGGGTCAGCCTGTTGGTATACTGGATGATGCGAATGTGTTGTGTAAATTGCCGGAAACGTATATTCAGTACAAATAGTAACTGCCAACATTTTCTTATCGTGTTTATTGTAACCCCCCCCCTCTCCATTTGATTGTTACGACGACTAGGGCTCATCAATTCTAAAGGGATAGAGAAATGTATCCACGACAAGTCACTGAGTTCCTAGAGTGTGGTAAATCGTCTGATAATTTATTTATATCAAATGGCAGGCGTCTCGATGGTCATCATTAGCCCTTTAGTTGATTTCAGGCTCCACAGAGGGGAAGAAACATCAAAATGAAAAAGTCGATAGGGAGGGGGAGGGAAGAGAAGAGTGTTTCAAAGATGTAAGAGACAGAGACAAAGGTAGAACAAAGGTGGGGTGAGTACTGTGAAAATAGTCTAATATGGCATAGAGTGAGGTGAGTACTCTGGAAATATTCGAATATGGCATAGAGTGAGGTGATGGTAGTTTGAAGTGGTCGAATATGACATACATTGGGGTCATGGTAGTTTAAAGTCAGAAGTCAACTGCCGATTAATAGACTTTTTGACATATTATATTCGAATATGGCATAGAGTGAGGTGATGGTAGTTTGAGAGGTCGAATATGGCATAGAGTGAGGTGATGGTAGTTTGAAGCGAGAAGTCAACTGCCAGGTAATAGACTTTTTGCCGTATGAATATGCGTTGCCCAGGGTGCAATAGTCTGATCATAATAACACGTTATGAATGGATATGAGATTGTGGAATGAAAATCAAATTGGAAAATAAAAGACAAAATCAAAGTGACAAAATCAGACCTTTAAATTGGGCCGAGAGTAAATATGGATTTGATGATGAAAAGTTGCCATAAACGTAAGTACATTCTTTTTTCGCATCTGTCTTTAATCGACTTATTTTGTGTTAATTTTTATGGTTTCTGAACGTTTTGCTACATACTGAGTCACGAGGACTATCCCTTAAAGATTGAAACCAACGACTTTTGTTAAGTCTTTTGTTCTATTAACACCGACCCCAAAGAGTCCTTTCTTTAAACTTATAGAATAACGGCTATTAAAGGGTTCTTAAATTGCTCTTGGAAATGGTGGACTCATTTAATTTCCTATCTTCCATAATTATAGCACGCATATCAATGCAGTGGTATGGTGGGGGTTGCGCTGGAAATCAATACGTCTCTGGTCTATGTCTCTTTGGGCATGAGCTACTGTGAATGGGGCTCCATCTACTTAGACTCCTATGGTGAAGAAGATCTCGAATTAAAGTAAGTACATTCATTTTGCCTTGTTATAACGTTTTAGTATTCTTTTTGCTTATTTTTATTTCCTTATACATGCTTTATTTCATCAGTTATTAGTGGGAAATGTCTTCTTCTATTTTATTTATGGAAAATGTTACAGAAGCTGTCTATTCAACTTGTTAGAAGTGGACTTACCAAGAATTTTCAATTTTGTTCATGTTAATTCACTCCAGTCTCCACACATCATTAATTTCTGTTAGTCTAATATCTTCCCATGAAAGTTGCTGATTGTGGCTGGTTTGGACTTCTACATGAATGTTAGGACTGCCACTCTTATTTTGCAATTAATTTTTGCTGCGAGGTTAATAGGGATGACTATTAGAAAACTTGGAGTTGATCAAATTTTATAGGTGATTACATTCATGGATGATATAGTGATTTGTCCATTTTTTAGACGCGGAAAGCCCCTTTTCTTGAACGAGGATCGATTTGCGTTGTTGGAGAGTCAGTGGATGTCTCACTCCTTCCGTCATGTTTTGAAGCGATGGCGCCACTTGTAGCCAGTGGCCAATAGTTAGCTTCAGCGGTGATTTCCCTCTTCATGCATCCACTCACTCTTACTAACCTTCGCCTTTGAATTTAAATACACGGACTATGCCTAAAGTCTGCTCTCCCTATTTCACTTTATCCCTATTCGACTATATTATGTCATCTTATTCTCTTTCGCTTTGTTCTGTTTTATTGCGTTAAACATGGGTTTAGTAAAGGAACGTATTAGTATTGAATTTTAACTGAACGTGTATGTTGGATTTCAAACGCGGGATCAATGAAATCAAATAGATGAATGTCAGTAACGATAGATAAGCCACTCTTTCATCGTTCATAATGTCGAAACTTGTTTTTTTTCTGAAATGGAGTACTGATAAATATAGCAGTTGGATTCATGATTAAGTTGTTGTGGGCAATCATGACTTATTAAGTTGATTACTTTTAACGACTCCATAGAAGGGGGTGAAAGCGGCAGCAATCCATGTTCACTGCAAGGTTAATATTCTTTTATCAAAAAAATTGAGCAATGAGCATGGATGTGACGAAATAATTTACTAGAATACGCTGAATGGGTGTATGACATATATTCGTAATAATGAATTTTCAACTTTCTTCTTAAATCTGCCTCAAGACTAAAGTATTTTGGGTAGATTTTACAAGATTGACTAAAAATATTCACAGAGCTAAGGCTTCTGTGGTTTCACCTGGGAAATAAATTTAGCGTGGCTAACATCTGTGAGTCTTTCTGTTTTACTAAATATGAAATTACGCAATCAGTTGTAAGAATTTCATAATCCTATCAAATATAAATAGAGATTATTTTCAAAAACCTTAATAATCATAACAAACTACAATAAATAGACATGAAAATTAGAATGACTGGGTATATTGCTAAAATCAAAAACATATACACGACAATCATCGAAAATATAGGTCTGGCATTAAGTCAAACTATTTCATAAAATACTTGATGTCAAAAAGAAATTAAATAACTAGTCAATCTTTCATACCTAAGTTTAATGCCACAGTTCCGATCATTCGATGTTGGTATGCGTAGAAATAACTAAAATTTTTGACAATATATGCTCACAAAACGTTGTGTTTGTCAGATAGTAAGTTTGATTATGCTTCTTCGTAGATATCAAATTTTATCCCCCAAACACAAATATCAATAAAAATAATTGGGCAACGATTCACCAATCCCACATAATTGAATTTATGAAAGCTAATATAAGCTTCAAGAATAAAATATGAACAATATATACATTTACAGGAAACAATTGTCAGTTATTAATTTTATTTCACTTGACCAATGGAAGTGTTTTAAACAAGTCTCGTTAATATTTACAACCAATCGGAGATGTCGGGTTATTCGCGCAATCTGGGAATTTATCACCATGACGCGGGGTCTTACTCCATGTAACTTACTATTTTTATTACTTATTATTTAGGTCCGTTTATTCTGGGAACTAGCACTGCAAGAGAAGGGGAAACATTCCCTGTCGAAATATCCAAACAAGGGGAAATTGTAAGAAGACTTGTAATACAACATTTTCTAGAATTGTACTATAAATAATATTACATACAAGGGTAAATCGTCTCAAGTAAAGGATCATAGGTAATTGGAAATGTTTTAGGCTTTTAGATGTGCGATTGTTTTACATTTTTCTGTTTTGTAGCTATGTCACAGTAATCTATAACAAAGTAACAAAACAAGTAGAAATATTTCACAACAAGCCTATATATTTAGGCCCTGTATTTGGTTAGTTTTATTATTGAATTATTAGTTGCTTTTCTTAGAGGAAGAAGATATCGAGCAAGATAGTGAGCGGCAGCCTGCCACTCGAGCAGATTTTACAAACGAATTTGGTTCTGTTTGGAGTAAAAAGAGTCTTTGTGAGCGCGAAGAGGTTGAAGCGCGCACTCGAGCTGCTAATGATGCCGATGTATTACAGAAAGTTGCCTCTGGAGTTTCAAAAGTGAACAGTGAAAGTAAATATCGGTTTGTCTAACTCGAATGAATTTCCATTTATACCCGCCCTTATAATTTTGCTATTTTTCACATTTCATTTAGCTCAAGATAAAGGTAATGAGGCGACACAAAAAGAACAGCTTTTGCCCAAATTTGATCAACAGACAAAAATTGTGTCTCAAATCTTTCCTCTTTCCAGTCTTATTCCTCCTAGTATTGCTTCTGCCTTGGCTCAGGAAGCTAATGCTATTTCAACCGCAGATGATAAAGCCCTACAGGATCTAATCAAGCGTAATCGTTATCCATCCTTCCTAGCCGATCGACTCCAATACCTACCACTAGATAATTTGGAATCTGTGTCAGTGTCTCAACCTGCAGCTAAACGACGACGCAAGGACGCAAGTGGTGGACTTGGCGAACGCATGACGCGAATCCAAATGGCCACAATTATCGCCTACTTAAATCATATGTTTAGGCTTTTCCAGTTGAGAATGAATGAACTGCAACAGAAAATGCCGCTTCCTAATGCTCCTGCACTGGTTGCCAAGGACTTATTGAGCAAATTCACTACCCTCACGGTGCAGGCGGGTAAAAGTAGATCCAAAAACAGGCGAGTAGACGGCCACAATCTTAATTATTTTCAGTTTGTAAACTACTTCGAGATGGTTAATTCAGTTACCTTATCTTCATTTAAGGTTAATTACACCTATGCTCCGTGACAAGTTAATCTACCATATCCTCATTCTTATACTTCACTGTGACAACTTTTCCACGGTTATCGACAAACTGCCCATTGATTTCAAAATGTCCTCTGTGACGTAAGTTTATTCATAATTGTCTTTATCCTTTTAATAATATTTCAAACTTCTTTTAAGAATATTGTGCCATTTTATTTCAGATAATGTTTTAATGCAATGTAAATATCATTTATATTTATACCTGTTCTCAGTTTTTTGTTTATATGTCTTGGATAAATTAGTTAACTCTTCCGAAAAAAACAAGTTTTCTGAAGCTATTTCATATTTGGGTCTATAATGAAAGAGTAAGGTTGGAAAAGTTAAAAATTGTTAATATACGTAAATATATGTTTATCGGAGTATGTTGGGCAAGTTGTTGTCGAGAAAGCATTGATTATTTTGATTGTGCCCACCATTTTGTTGTGTTGTGTTCTCCTTTGTAAGAATTATTCATTATAAAAAATATTTGAATAGAGAGGATATTCACCTTATAGTAAGTTTACTCTTTACCCTTTACTTATCTCCATTTGGGTTGAAATGAGGTATATTCTTTGCTGTTTTATTTTTCATTTAATTTATCATCAATGGCTTTGTTTCAGCCTTGTCTTTGTTTCGAGAATGTAATCTTTTTAACAATATACAACTACTTACTATACTGATTTATGTATCTCACTTTTTCAGCTTTTGTGGCTAGTTAATTAATACTCCTTTTGGTTTACTCATTTGTGTGGGCTGTCTATTGCACTGGTTAATTTGAATCTAAAATTATTTTCCATTTTTTTAACTGAATTTATCCTTAGTTTTTAGCTATGCTTTGGTTGCTTCTGGACTCAAATTTGTTGACCTTGATGTTCTATTTACTCGCATCAATTTTACTAATAATGGCATTTGGGATTTTCTTATTTTTTGTCTAATGTGCGATCAGCATGCGAGTTTATTTAGTTATAAGTCATGAGTCAAATAATAATCGCTTTGCACCACTTAAGTAGATATAGCGATATCTCCAGTTGTAGATTACCAATTAAAGTAATCGCAGCTGGTAATGTATTCTTTATGTTCGAATTCGCACCTTTAGTGGACTTATTTTTCCCCAGTCGTATTGAAATAGATGCTTTGGTCAAATTAACTATTCATGCTAATCAAAACTGTTCAGAAAGTAGGTTCGGTTCCCATACGAACTCTACATTACCATCTCTACACCCATATTAGAAAATTAGCACATTGGTTCTGAAATTTCATACAAACTGTTCTTTCCACTCTTTTAGATTGAAAAAATACTTCACCTTCATTGGATGCACGTTTGCTGTTAAGGAAGTAAAACAAACAGAGGGTGAGGACCAAACGTCGGAAAAGAGGAAAGAAACTACCGCCCATCTTCGTGCCCCTCTAGTTTTTAAACCCGCACGTTCTTTCCGACGCTAAAATATGAATATCCACTATTTTTAGAACGTGTCTAACTATATTTGATTTTGTAAATATTTTGATTAAATGACAATGAATCAAATTGCCATATTGTCATTTCGTATGCTCGAGTGCTTGGCTTGCCATAAAGTTCGAGCATTTTTTAACAATGGAGTTAATTGGAAATAAACTTTAGTTGAAGGATTGTTTCAATCTGGCCCACGTATCCCGGCATAGTCATCGATGGGTTCATGTTGCTGTAGGGGAATGTCTAATTTGCGCAAACAAGGGCGCTATTCGTATCTAGCTCCCACATGTGTTGCTGCTTCCACTACAGGCGTTCTCCATGAATGGATTCGAAGTTGTGTGCTTTGAGAATGAGCTGTTCAAGGTTCAGAAAACAATTTCAAAATACACTATAATCAATAGGTAAGACGCGGAGTGAAACCCATTTAGGAAGGGCTGGAAGCAGTTGACTAAGGGTTTAGAGATCAATTTGCTCATCTGCTTGAACTTAATTTAAACCACATAACTAATTCGATTAGTATTTCAATAACTCAGCTATTTTTCCTATCTGCAACTCGCTAGGTTCCATCTACGATGCGCACAGTCCCCCGTTCTCTGCTACTCCACCTAAACGTTTTACTTTAATATATCATGTTTTTTGGAACATTCCATAAAGTGCCAGAGATCTCAAGTCTAATTGGTATTCAGTAACGCGCTAAATGCTCATAATGACTAGCGCGATCTCGATACTTTGGAAAAAGGCTGTTAAATATTGTCATTTTTTATATTAGATATCCTGGTACAGTTCCATTGAACCTCTAAGTGAAATTTAAAGGTATTGTTTTCTATTTGCATCTTCGAATATTGTTTCCATATATATTTTTATTTACCATATATCTGAGAATAATGTGACGCACATTATTTTAATAATTATTTTTTCTGGAGCGAAATGTTATATAATCGGCAAAATTTGACTGTAAAATTTTAAAAATACAAATATTTCGTATATAACTATTCATTTTAATAATGTAGTTCCTTTATTGACTCTTTATGCATTAATCAATCTCCGGCCAGGCGCCTATTACGCAGTAAGCATTGGTTGTAGAAACGTAAAGACAGGAAGACCTTAAGTATTTGTGATTTCTTTTTATTGATTTTAGATATGGATAAAGTATCTTATTACTCTGTTCACGATGTATCAATGGAGGAAATAGCGATAGGTTTATTCCGTCACACGTTATTTTAATCATGGTCATTAGCTCTTCAAAATGGTCTGAAGGACTGCTATAAAGAAGTAAAAGTGAGCATAACTAATTGTCCGGATCTTAAAGAGGCCCCATTCAAGCTCAATCTGTCAGGTATTTAGCCTTCGGTTGTCGCTTAACATTATAGGTCTCACTGGTCAGAATGTTTTATGTGATGTTGGGAGTATGAAATATCTGCTGCCAGTTCCTGACAAATCTAAAGTATAAAATATCCTTATCTATAAATTCTTAGAGGTACAGTTTCGATAAAGTGGCTGAATTATCAAAAGTTGTTCAAGGACAATTACTCGGTGCTGGTGCTGGTCCATTTTTCACGCACAACAAGAGCTGTGAGGTGTATACTTATTTTCCTGGCTGAAAACATGTTTATTCAGATATCTTAGTTTATTTTCGCTCTCCTTAGATGGCTGCAAATGTTAAATTCTCAGGTTCAAAAGTCATCTCAAATTCTACTCTTCATGGGGTGTATAACGAAACAGTGAGTATTATTTTATGTGCCTCTATCAATGAATGAGTTGTTAAAGCTTGACTTTACAATATAATAATGCTTAAGATCAAGTTTTTATCTACTCTCAGTATTTATTTTTTTCCATAATGGCGCCTTCACACTTTATGTACGTGACGTGTATAACAATTGCTAAATTGTCTTGAATTGCAAGTATGTTGGGAACACAGTATGGCTGAAGCTAAGAAGCGTTCGCGCACTCGAGCGTTCTGGAACGTTGCGGACGTGGTACGAACCACGCCAAGGGGCAAATGAGGTCACGGGTACAGAAACCCCTCTACCAACCGATGTCCAATAGTCATTATAGTACTATGGTATTCAAACAGTGTTTAATAGCATTGCTCCATGCCGTCTCACGCACCACCGTAAGATACACAGCCCTAACAAACTTATTCACACGTCTATTTCTTCTAATTCTATGTAGCTTCTCTAAACCTGGAACCATCCCAAACTCGATCTTGCTATAGAGATTGCTGAGCATAATTCATGGTTTATTAATGTAGCAATGCTCTACAAGTACGCTTGCTTATTCCAGAATATAGCATCTGGTTTCATTTAGACTCACAAGCCGGAGGTTATTCGAGCAACAGATAATAACTTTGCCCTTCTAGCTCATCTCCTTTCAACCGAAGGTCTGCCTGGATCAGTAAGTGAATATTATTTCACCTATCTTTCAAAAGAGTTTACTTGCTCAGAATTTTATTTTGGGTAATCTTTATAGTGTGATTTTATCCTACCTTCTTTCCATTTTCGTTAGTCTCCATCATGTCTCTTTGTAAAGTAATCAAACCGCAAATCAGTAATCGTTTTCGAAAATTTATCGGTTGTCTTTAAACTAAAGGAAAGTTCTAAAACCTTTTGCTAAGGAAAAATGCAAATATAATCCTTTACTTGGTTAGTTAGGTTGATATTGATACGGTCGCAAAAGTGTTAGTCAAATTTTCTCAAATTAATCAAGCGAAATGGGCAACATCTTGGCTAACAGCCAAGTAGTTTACTTATCAATATTCCAAGAAATGGTAAGTATGTACAATTTTATTGGGCAATGCCAATCAGTATTCGGAGGTTCAAGAAAAGCCACTTAGTTGAGCTATAGGAAGAGGTATAACAAAAATTTGAGCCTATAAAAGAAGACTTGAGGCTAACTAATCGTTTGCATGACACATGGGGCGATTGAGCACGAAGTTCAATCAAACGCAGAAACGCAATTTTTTCTTAAAATCGATGTAACTTGGGATCTTGTTTAGAAAATGATGTTTGAAATAGATGCTTGACAATGTTCCGAACAGGTCACTTCATGAATAATAAACTTCTCAGGCACATAACACTTAACTAGAGGAGCTCGTATTTTACCAGTTAACTTGTTGACCGAAAATAGGCGGGACAGTTTGTGACCCACGTCACTGAATCTGCCCTAATGGCACAAGATTAATCCAAATCGTTTATTAGAATTCTATACTCACATCTCGTTAAATTTCAATTGTTAATTAAATAAGTGGATAATCATCAACTGGGTTCACTTTTATCTATTCCTCTTTAATAGATGAGCCGTAGTTTAGGCTTCTGATTAGATTGAGCGTTACAGAAATTAAGATTTATGAGTATCGCTTTGTGAATGTGATCCTGTAAATTCGTTGGGCTTACGTAGCTAGATAACACTAGCTAAGGTGCTTTGATATAGATTAGATCAATGGAATTTTAATAATTTGCTTTCTTTTTACGTTGAAAACTTGTCAGAGTATATTTTATTGCCCTCTATTCAGGTAATCGAGGTCGACGTGTCAGGGAGATTGAAGGAGGGTTCTACTTACGTATTTCTACGGGAGGCCCTCAAGGCAGCCTTCAGTAAATTGCCTAACCCTGTGGCTTTAGGTGGCGTCTTTGTTCTAAATGATAGCAAAGCGCGCTTTCATGTACTCGTGAGTCGACAGCTATTCTTTATGACCTTGTTAATTGTAGATAATTTGCACATTTTCCCACTCTGAATGTATACCTACTTTTCAGAGTATTAAAATTGAAAAATACTAGTTGGAGTTCTTTCGGGCACATCTCCTACTGGATATTAAATAATGGTGCATATTTATCCTAACAATATAGAATATGTTTCCCCATTCAGTGATCATTTTTTTCAACAAAAGTATCACTTTCGAGAATTTGAATATGTACATCAACTTTGGTTGAATTCAATTTATCACTTGTTTTATTCCGAAATGCTCCCTCCATCAGCTTCGTTCTGTTTAACTTCTGATATCCTTAATAAGCGTACTTAAAGTGAGCCTTATCAAGTGAAGTTGGATGATCAAGTGATTGAATTAATTATTGTAAATGAGATTTCAAATCTCGTACTTCCATATATGGATATTTCTTGCTGATTCCACGGAAGGTGGTATTGTCAGTTTGTGAACTTTGTTTCGTTAGGGAGAAAAGAATCACATCTGTATAATAGAAACGGTCAACCTTTACATAACTTCGTAATTATTTATTTGAATTTGAATTTTAAGAATACTGTTTATGAGTGTGCGTATCATTTAAAGTAAACATTCAAGTTGTGCTTGGAGGATACCACCATCGTAAGGTATTTTCCGTTCTCTATTTCATTGAGCATATTCATTAAGATCAATGGTTATTAGGGAAGAGCAAGCGATGTAGTTTTCTTAATGCACTTGTAGAGCCAGGAAGTGGTATTTCTATGTATTCCAATAGATTGAATATTGCCCTGATATAAAGAGCACTGACATTACTATGTCTACCATAATTTTCCTCGTGTGTTCTTTCTCTCATCTCTACCAGGAACGTTGTAATGTCGGGCTTGAACATCATAAAGGGTGTATTTGACTGTGAAGGCTGTCCGCACTTATCTGATAGCCCCTGTTTTCTCTTGTGACAAGTGTTAGTCTAACTGACTGTGCCTGATTTCACCACCAATGAGATTAAGGCATCTCATATTGTCGTCGTACGGCTGAAGTTGAGTGTGGTATCTCATGAGAGCGGAAGTTCATATTTGTTTGCTTTTCTTTTTCAGGCCTTTTGAGTAAATTGGATGTGCGGAGAGATGACTGTTTCCTATCGGTCGTGGCAGTATCCATGACCATTATTGATTATTTTTCCACACCACCACTACCTAATCTTCTTTCTTGCTTTCAGTGTGGGTTACCTGACGACCCAGTGGATACGCCGGAGAAGGTGGCAGCATTTGTCAAGCACTTCGAGATGGAGCCTCCTATTTTGGGTGTTGGTACACTCGTGTCGCATGATCCGGTAAACTCCTTCGGGTTTGATATAAGTCTCATGATGGAGAGTGTAGACTAAGTGTACAGGCCAGTCACGCTTGTAGCGATCTAATTTAACATTTAGAGAAGACTAGAGAGAGGGTGTACACAGACGAAAGATTTATTGATGACGATTGATGAAGTGGCGTAGTTCTAAGTCAATGGGGGCATTGTGTTTGCCCCAGTTAAGTTTGATTAAGTCAACTAAGTTTTGAGGTCAATGGGAAGTCTCAAATCTCCAAGCAAAAATAGTAAGATAGAGCAATGAACAGATGAATAAATGCAATTATTGAATGACGGAGATCTAATGAAGAACTGGTTAAATTGCAGATCGAACTAGCCTATTGAAAGGAATTATACTCTTCCAATTGAGTAAGATTGTACTTCATCATCTAAATCAGTCTTTATGTTACAATCTGGTGTGTTCATTTGTTTTATTCCCTCAATTCCTCCCTTTAGTACAACGTGGACTTGAAATTGGAACACTTCCATTGCTACAATGAGGCTCAAACTTTGGCGGGTCATTTCTATTGGGACACAGAACCGGAGAACGCGCACTATCACTTCTACTTAGTTGTGGCAAAGAACTTGTTGAGGATTGATCCAAAAGTTGATCCTTGATTTTTGTGCCTCGATTCCACCACAATCTGTCTTCGCTCTTCTTATTTATCTTAATTATCATGGAAGATCAAGAAGTAGTTTTAACAAATAAAGATTTCTGTTTAGAGAAAGACTTGAAATTGAAATTTGGCAGCAAATCTAGAGAACATTGGGTTGGAGTATTTCAGCAACTTGAGTTTTCAGAATAAACTCGTCAACTCTCATTTGAATATCGAGTTCCACTTATATCTAGTGGGTTAGGAAATATTGCATAGGGGAATTCAGTAATTCAATTGGGTTCGGTTAGTCATCTTATTGGCTGTCACAGATCAGTGTGTACGTGACTATCTAGGCGTATCCAATTCACGTTCACTTGGGAAGAACAATTAACTTCTGAATGTAAAGCAAGAATATTTGAAGTGGGTTTGATTAGCCCCTCGGAAATATTAGCATCAACTTAGGGAACACTTGTTGGAAATTCATGATCCACTTTACTTACAATGATCACATGGAAATGGGGTGTTGGGAGCGCGATTTTGCAGAGAGATGAATTTGTGACTCTTGCAAAATTATCACACCACTCGTTGGGCTGATGTGCAGATATACCACTAGCTTTAGTCATACAGTTACATTCACCTCATTGGGTTGTTTTAATGATAAATTAGGGGAACCTAGGTAATCGGGAATGTAAGTTCATATTTTCAGTTCAAATAGGGATTTAACACAAATCCATGTTTAGATGTATGGTTATTTGCCGTGCATTATTATTTACAATTGTAAATGTTAAGTGCAGCACTGAGGCCAGAAAACCAATTTAGTTTCGTTTAATTTCTACATGGGACCAAAAACGGGTTTCTACTTCTCGAGGTTTATTGACCCATATCGAAGTTACTACATTTGGATGGATTTACTTGGTTATTTTATTTAATAACTATTTCAGGAGTGGCCAATGCTTTAAGATCTCTAATATCCAGAATCGATAGTTAAAATCGATTACACGAATTCTGCAAAAAAACAACCCCGCTCTCCTTAAATGAACCTTGTTCGCTAATATTGCCATTGTTCAAAGCACCTTCTTTTGCCAAGTATGTCGAACTCGCTTGCCTCGTTTTCCGAGGTGCTGACAGATCGCTAACTGAACAAATTTGTCATACTCAATGCTTCATACACTCGAGATAAGTTTGGTTTACCGCTGTGTAAATTTGAAGTTGAATTCGAGCTCAAAAGTTGGAGATGGTACCAGTGAAGGCAAGTACGAAATGGCATTTGGGTAGTCTTAATTTAAGGTCTTTAAATGCAAACAAAATTGGCTGCGAACCCGTCAGTAATTTGCCAAAACTAAGAGTGATGCATAATTAAATTGGGGCTAAATCACATCGTAATGTTTGATAGATTGCAATGAGAGACGCTAAGGCATTGATTACTCAAGTGGATTAAAAGTTTGCCCAATTGAGGTTCATTAATTTCGAAGAGCTATGTGCCTGACGCTGTTACATCTCTAGGAAGTGATAAGACG